CCAGGGAGATTGTTTTCAGGAAAGAAGCGCACTTTTGGCCACTGCATGGTACTACACAACAGACCATGGCTGAATTATTTGGTTAAAAGCAGACGCAGCCTTTTGTTTCCCATGTAGAACAGTTTAAAGTAAATACGTCTTCATCTGATGCGCTTTTACTGTCAAGGTTTTTGCGACTGGAAAACACGCATTACAGACTGATAAAGGACTGCTAAGGCATGGCCTGCATCCAAAAGAACACATTTCATGTGAGAGTTTGTGAGAGAAAGACAGATACGCGAGGAAACAAATAAGGAATGAGTAATTTGGTGCACACAGCTCAGCTGGCACGGAACCATTTATTTACGTTGCCAGCTTTCGTTGATATTATTAGCTTTTTTGCTGTCAACCAACTCCTCTCAGAGTTGACCACGATCACTCCACAGCATGTCCGGTCAGGCAGTGGGCTCTTCCTATCGCTGTTGAGTATACGCTGCACAAAGATGCAGAGTGGACAAAATAATGTTCTAAAGTTAGCTCGGCTCATACTTGCCAACCGATCGAATGAATGGGCGGGGTGCTAGTTTATCGCCGGAAGTGTTAGATTAACATTAACATGCTTATTGTAGTTCTAAGTGCAGCCTGTAGCACCATCCTGTGATGGAGCATATGTGTGGGCAGGAAAGGAGTGAGCAGAGAGTAGAGTAGTTGTCGATTCTTGTTCTGTTTTCTGTGACTATCTGCCTCACCCTGTCAGACTTTCAGTTGCGTGCGCTACTAAAGAGACGTGTTACCATGGAAACCAAACAATGGTGTAGCTGTATTAAAGTCAGAGTGGAAACAGTCCTGAGTAAATCTGATTTTGTCAGAAATCGGGAGAAATATGACCCCGGGAGGAAACCGGGAGAGGGCAATGAAATCGGGAGTCTCCCGCGAAAATCGGGAGGGTTGGCAAGTATGGCTCGGCTGAGCGAAAGGATGCACCTGCAGTGCATAGAAAATAAACCATGCCCAAGGAGGGCTAAACAGTTCATCGTCTCCGTCTCTACTATTTCTCTCCGAGTGCAACGATGAGGAAGCTGCCATCCTTACCCAGTGTGTGCCTTGCTCGTGATTTAACAGTGTTTGTGTTGCCACGCAAACAATGTTTCAAAAGTGGATTCTATGTTGCCCTTTATTTGTGTATGTATTTGCGATAAGTGTGTGTCTTTACGCAATGCTGTTGGCCTTGCTGTTTGATATATATTGTGCCGCAGGCCCGCAGCACGTGACGGTTTTGTGTGCCCTCCCATGAAAATCATATGCCCTCCCTTTAGATTCGTTCTGGCGCCGGGTCTGACTTTCCCTGCTGTTTGGAACTAAAAGACAGTTTATATCTTAATGATGGGAAAACCTGGTCGTGTCCTTTACAGTCTTCTAGGTCAGGAAGAGGAGGAGCACTGTGGCTGCTTCCCGGGTTATTATGGGCTTTTCGCCTCTTATAATTATCTTCCAGATAGCTGGGCCACTCCTTTCGGTTTCAAACTGAAGAAAGCCGTTTTTGTTTTTGTGTCCTATCCTTGAGTCAGCAGTCTATTTGCAGTAACAGGGTGTATTTAGTGGGAGATTTCCTTTTTTAATACAGTGCTATGACAAAAGTGGTTTACATTTTATTGGCTACTATATGGGGAAGGAAGAGAATCATAGATTGATCTGGTTTTCATTTCTGGCCTCAAGGCAATACAAATTCAACATTTAAAGAGTGTTCTTTTGAGGTGAAGTGTCTTGTCCAGCAACCTCCCTTTTAGAAAGCAAGGTAAGCCTTGATGAGTTGCAGGGCCTGGATATAACTGACATTAAACTCTATGTAAATAGGACATGTTTGATGGTGTGGCTGAAGGCGTATCCATCACACCGGTCATAATGTAGCTGAGCCCACCATCACGTCTGTGGAACATCAACCAGTGATGACATATACATGGATCATAAAAACTCATGAAGAGGACACCTGGTAGTTATATCTCAGTTTTTAATTACAAGTGCACAACTGGTTGTTTGATCATACAGGTCACTCACATGAAGAAGAAAACATTACATCTCAACAGTTACAGTAGCTTACTGTAGACGCCTTTGGCTTCTGTAGGACACAGCATTGCTTAAGGCAATATATCATTTATACATACTGTAGTCTACACTTTTACATTTACAGAGAATCCCTGGAATGTGACATGCTGGATTGACAGGACAGCTTCACTTAGAAAACCCTGACGTGTGGTGGACCTGTGCTTTGGTTCCTTCAGGAAAAACTCTTGGGTCCACGTGTAGAGGACAACAGAGCACACGGCAGAACATCATGTCAGCAGGAAGGATGGGACTTTGATACACGCTCTGTTTTGAAGGACATTGACAACCCTGGGATTGTCAAGGGTTGTCTACTTTTATATTGAAATAATTCTTCGATTTAATTTGGCCTTGATCACTGCTTACAGAACGGTTACACACAGGGGCTGCGCACATCACAATACCCCCTACAGACAAGATACAGAGAGGAAACCAACAATCTTCTCTTTCCACATCAATAAATCCTTGGGTCCTTGGCATGCCAGAAAATACGTCTTTCATGCATCACTTTCACAAAAAGGGAGAACCTCATGATATTTATGGTTCCTTATGAAACTCCATGATACTTCTGATCAGAGTGAGTGCTTTACATCTTCCAGTGGGGAGAGATATTGCACTTGGAACATTTTAATTGAAAAACGATCAGAGAAAAAGAACACATTCCAGAGCCAAGCATTTCTAGAAACATTTACAGGAGATAAATGTACATTTCTCGTGCAACCACTCTCCCTTAGCTGCTGATCTTGGTCAGCATCTTGTTGATGGCCTGTTTGACGTGTGTGGTGGAGCTGCGGCGACGGGCCTTGCCCTGCACGGCCTTGCGGCGCCTCACTTCGCGACACAGCTCATGAAAGGCCTCGGCCACGGTGCCCCCCTCGTTGGCACACGCTGAACATTCGTAGAAGGCGCACGCCATTTCAGCAGCCAGACGCTCGCCCTCCTCGGTGCCCACCTGCCGGGCGTGGTCCAGGTCCGACTTGTTGCCCACCAGGACCAGCGGCACGTTTTTGGGCCTCTTCACCTCCTCTAGGAGACTTCGCAGCGGAGCCACCTCCTCAAAGCTCCCGCGGTCTGTGATGTCATACACAATGACAAATCCGTCTCCCCAACGCATGTGACTCTCCTTCTGCTGGATGTCCTCCTGAGACAGAAGACAGAAACTCTGGTCACAAACTCAAAGTGTAACAATAATCCTGAATCGGTTCAATATTTGAGGAAACTCACTTACAGAGAATGAGATCATTTCTGTATGCTAAATATGAAGCTACAGCCAGCTGCCAGTTAGCTTAGCTTAGCATAATTACTCGAAACAGACGGAAAAGCTAACCTGGCTCTTTTTAATAGCAGTAACGTCTGCTCCACACTTACAACATCTTATGTTGACTCTATTACAAGTTGGTATGTGCCAGACTATTTCTTGGTTGGGAATACTGCATGTGTCTTTAAAACCACAATGCATTGTGTCTGGACCAGTTATATTGTCAGCAAGTCTAAAAGCTGTTAATATTTCACTTTTGATATGTTTTCAGATGATAAAAACGGTTTGCTATTAAGAAGTTAATATACAGTGCATTAGTATTTGAACACATCCTGAAATCTACTTTTTATGCCAACATTGATAAGAAGGTTATCAATTATTTGGGGTGTTTTAGGGATTGTTTATATAGTCACTACTGAATCTGTATTTATAACCATCAGTCATATTTCCGCTACAATGCAATAATCAAACCCCTATTAACTTGGTGGAGACCAAATCAGATCTCACAGCAAAGAGAATATTGGACTTGCATTTATCAGATGCCCAGTGACAGTGGATGCCAGTGTTTCTCCAGGTCTAATGATAAGTAATATGCTAATGTAGTTAGCTTGGGGGAATGGGGGAAATGCTAACCTTTTTTTTTTTTTTTTTAAAGCAGTCAACTAAAGTTCACGTCAAAACGGTTACTAGTGGTAAAGTTCCAGACTATTTCTCGCTTGGGACTTCTGTCTGTGTCTTTGAAACCACAACGTTTTATTTATACAGCACCACAGGAAGTCATCCCTACCTGTGACCATTAAAAACTCTTTAACCCCTCCCTCAGAATCTTCAACACTTAGTACCCCTCTTTCAGCAGCTCTACATAATTTATGTATACCTTCAACTCTGCAATACTGACCTAATAGTTACATGATGTTGTGCAGTAAGTTTACTGTTCAATCCTTTGGTTTAATCTAGCATTGATACTGCATTTATTCATGTATTCAGACTGTGCATTTCAACTAATATTTGTATGTATTATATTATTACATTAATTATTACTCCCACTTTTCAGCATTATTTTAAGTAGGCCTACCCTGTTGGTATATATTTGTATTCATTTATTTATTTATTATTTTTTTAAATATTTGGAGTTACTTTTCGTTGTAGTATAATTCAAATATCTTTAGAACATTATTTGAATGAAATATTTCAATTTTAGAATGGGATAACTGTGACCCATCACCAAATATATGGTGTTCTTAGTTTCCATACTTCCTGTGTTTTACGAGCGACTTATCAAGTCTTAGCAAACGGCAAAAAACATGATTAAACATGATAGTATCTACAACCTATAGAAAAGCAAAATGGCCTCAGTTTAGACGTAATTCTGTCCTTCTGCATACCGCATCATTTATGGTGAGAATACATGTCATAACATTAAGACAACATACAGTATTCGAGTTGGTTTTAAATAACATATCCGTATATTTATTTCTCCAAGTTACGTTTTTGTGTGCACTGAGGAATCTCAAAAAGGCGTTTGTTTAATCATTTTAAAGTTGGCTTCAATCAATTTTTGCGAATTAATTATTTATATGATAAATGAGAGGTAACATTTGGTATTATTTTCACATATTTCTCTCCATCCTTCCTTCTGCCAACGGTGTCGCAGTTTCTCGTCCCTCCCGTTTTTGTGCGTACGCATGGGTCAGAGTTTGCGTGCAGGACCGCACATTTTCCCGTCAAGTTTGTTTTTTATAAATCGCAAACATTGCTTAGAAACTGGTGTACGCCATCTTTTGAGCGTATACACCGTTTATATATGAGGCCCCAGGTCACAGATAGTATAACAATCCTTTCCCTTCAGTTCTGCCTGCAGGTCCTTTGCTTCTGGTAAGTTCTGCTGCCTAGCATGGTACATCCAGACCAAATGCATCTGGCTTGAAAGCATTCCCTCAGACATATGTTGGATAAGGCCACCATGGACAAATCTAATGGAGGTCAGAAGGTTATCAAAATCCCAAAAGGTATTTTATTTGTTGGATTTTCTGATTGCTGGATGAAAGCGGACCCCTGCTCTGACCTGAGCAATAAAAGCTTCTTATTGCTGGCACAGGAACACAACTGTGAGCCATTTTCCTTCGGAGGGTCAATAAAGCAGTGCTGATTCTGATTCATCCATGTCTGTTTGTATTTTACATTACACATTCAGTCTTGCCATATGTAGGCCATGTTCACATGTATAAAGTGTTCTTTTTATGGAGAAGCTTTTTTTCTCCGATTCCTGGCTCTCTTTGTGCTCTTCCTTTCACCTTTTGAGGCAGACATCAGATTGTGCAGTGTGAGGGAGGAGAACATTCAGCATGCTGCTGATCTGATCTATGAAGTAGCCCTGCGGTTATAACAGCACTTGGTCGTGTGTGGGACTTTCAAACCATAACCTGACTGCAGGGAGACACACAGATCATGGTCTTATAATTACTGTTAAAGGAAGCTTAAAAAAGACCACATCTCTCAAGAGGATAGACCTGAGAGTTTGACGTTTGTATACCTGTCCGAAGTCTGAACCTGGAATTTAGGAAGACTGCACCTCCAAAAATCAAGATAGAGTTAGCAGCATGCTTTAAAACAACCAGAGTCAGGAGGAGCCGAACATTCAGACCTCTGTCTGATGCCAGCTGAAAATAGACTACAATATAATGACAGAGAGATGACTTGGCTGAAGGGTCACCGGGGAAATCAGCCGACAGCAGAACACCTACGCAGCACTGCAGCATATTTATCTTCAGCCCCAGGACTTGCTAAGCTCTCCCTCATGAACCACACTGCCTCTGCTCGGAGATGCCATTCAGTCTCATAAACACTCCTACTATCACTCAAAAAACTGCCTTTTACAAAAAGTGTAAATGTCACATCGGATAAATCAAATGAAAGGTTTGAATCCGATTTAACTTTGAATATTCAACAGAATGCAATTATTAACTAGGCGTTCACCAGGAAGCGGGATCTTAGCAAATCATTGAGTTGAATCAGCAGTTTGGCTCATACCAAGGACTTGGCTTCATCAATGTGTTGCCATTTGTTTTTTTCAAATCTATCTCTAGCAACACCCCTAACTCTATGGAATATGTTTTCTGTCCACTCCTCAAATATAAATGTTTAACATAGAATCAGATCAGGGATAATGTGTCTCACCTGCCCGGCAGTGTCCAGGATCTCCATGGCAACAACCTCATCGTCAATGTTGGCTTGGTGACGATATGTTGATTCTGAAAGACACAAAAGTAAATAGCAATTAGTGATCAAAAACAATCTAAATCATCATTTAGTGATAGTACCAAATGCAGACTTCTGGAGGTGTGGAGAAGTCACCAGTACTGAAGTGGTGGTTTAATCCTGCAATGCAAGCATGAATGTCTTCTGCCTGGATGAATGCAGCGTTAAAATCCACATCTAATCACATATATACACAACGGATGACAAGTGTTGATTGGGTACCTTGCTGCAGTTTCCTAGGATGTGTTCAATTAGTATTTCCTGAGTGAGATCTCAGCTGGAATAATGATAACAGCTGGTGGAATTCTATGAATGCTAAAGTAAGGTGCTCCACTGCTCCCTTTCTTATCTCTTTAGCAAAGGATACACTGGAACATACTTAAGAAAAGGAAAGGACATGTCCAGCAATGCCTTGCAGCAACATGTAGAACAACATTTCATGATTTGTGAAGCATTTATTTGGTCATTGTATTCATTTTCTATGCATATGAATAAAGTTGCTTCAAAACAAAACGTGTGTTCAGTGGGATTCTCTCAGCACCAAAGTTTTCTTTTCTTAAGTCCTTATGAATTTTCCTTGAAATATTCCTTGACCTCATGTTGTTTTCCATCTCTGTGAAGGAAAATGTGTCAGGCGGTGGTTGACAGTTCATCCACAGTTCATACACAGCCCAGCCCCTCCTGGGGCCTCATTTATAAAGCCTTGCGTAGGATTCACGTGGGAAAGTTGCTTACGTAGGACAAAGCAAATAAATACGCACAGACATTTTCCGATTCATAAAACACTGCGAACCGGCATAGGACGTGCCACACGCACGTCCTACGCCGGTTTCTCTTTATAAATCAGAACCAACTCGAAATGCGGTGCAGCTTTTGCGGGCTTCATGTAACGCCCATATTTGCCTATAAATAGTCAAAGAAACGCCCCGTATTAATATTCATTTTGACTGACTGCATGAAGAAGATCGCAGGAAATGACGACAGAACAGCTAAAAAAGACATTTCACACCGTGGCTACAGTCGAATAGTCCATTTAGCTTAGGAACCTTCCTAACCAAGTGAAATGACCCGGAAGTCCCTCAGTGGCAGCCATGATAAGTGCCGTTCGAATTCTCTAGAATGATAGGAAAGGAGGTTTCAAACTTCCTTTATAACCTCCTTTAGCTTAGGAACCACTGGACCTCCCTAACCGAAAGGAGAGGAGAAAATGCTGCCCCACAATGCCTTGCAGCCGCAGCATTTGACGTCACACAACAGTCACCCACACAAACGATTATGACGGAGAAATTATATCATGAAATTTACGGTGCTTATAAACATCTTAAAACTTATGTGGTAAGTTGCCAAAGTGCTTTGTTCTGAACGTTCATCAGTATTATAATCAAAAAGAGAAATATGAACGTTAATCTTTACTGCAATGATCAAATAAAGTCAACATTTCACTGAGCTGTGTGGGGTTTGTTCAACTTTTAAAACATGTTTGAATGGTGATATACACAGTGATAGGTGTTTAAAGACTAACGTTTATAATAAATACATTTGTATTGATTTTAAGATCTTTTCATAGTTCATACAATCATACGTATTGGGATCATTTGTTTTAATGTGAACCGGAGGGAGAGGGTGGTGAGCATAAGTTTCACTTTTTTATTTCAATTCCAACTTTGGTCATGAAGAATATGTTTCTCTGTTGTTCATAAAGCATCAAACAACAGCATCAGAGCACGGTGCAGAGTCTCTAGATGAGTCCCTCGTTCTTATTAAACATCCATGTTGTAGTCCGTTGTATAGAAAACTGTAGTTTCCATAGTT